ACCTGCGACCTATCGGTCTCCAGTCCTGCTGGTGCAAGGGTTTAACCCACCTCACCACTGGGGGCTCCATATTTAAATCATAATTATGTAGATAATTATGATTTAAAACCCAAATAAGACTACCTCCCAAACAAAGGATACCCCCAGACAGCAACAGCCAGGCTTTGAGGTTGCAAAGCTACTCAATGCTAATCAAGCTGGCTAATTTCAACATTCACACTTGCTTCAAAGAGACAAGAGTTCTTTCTCCCACTCTGGACATTCCACAGATACACACACACACACACACTTCATTTCCGACAAACCTCTGAACAACTCTTTGAGGATGCCTGCCATAGATGCAGGTGAAATGTCAGGAGAGAATGCTACTGGAACATGGCCATATAGCCCTAAAAACACTGTGAAGAGTTCAGTCTGCCATTGAATAAAAATCAAATACCTTCAAGATTTTTGTGGTTTCCTGGTTTGAAATCGGAATGAAAATAAAAAAGGGTTTAACTGTACTACGTTTATCCTATTAAATAACTTGTTGTGAGTTCTGGCACTAAAAGAAATGGAAACTCCTTATGTAACATCATGTCAACATCATGGTATGCTTCATCTATTTGGTCATTTGGACTGAAACAGCTTATTGCCAAGTGCAGGAAATCGCCGGTTCCTTTTCTAAAATAACATCCTTGACCTTTCCTCTGAAATACTTCCTGCTGGTATGAATTGGACCACAATAAGGTTGGCAGCAATTTGGGAGCTAGAATATAATGTATGCTTGAGGTTAGATTCCTGTGTGGAATGCTGTGCCGATGTGTATTATTTTAAGAAGTATAGCATAACTTCCCTATCCATGGATTTGGTTGTCATAGTTTAAACACACTTCAAAAATATATATCCATTCTATAAATGTAGTTTTCTCTAAGACCTCCAGTGCAGTTCTAGAGTGTGGTTCCAGTCCAAGCATAGTAGAAATATAGGGTTTGCAATTATCCACAGTTCCGGATATCTAGTGTTTGTGTGTTTGATCATACTTTATTCCAAGGATCCTCAAACTTTTAAATTTGAGGGCCAGTTCAAGGTCCCTCAGACTGTAGGGTGGGTAGAGTACAGCTGGAGAAAACATAAATAATAATAAAATAAAACTTTATTTATAACCCATCACCATCTCCCCAAGGCCATGAGGCCAAGCCCAACAATTACATCAAAGCAAATATACAACATAAAACAATACATCAATGAAATATAATAAAGTGATATAAGATAAGCACCCAATACAAAATAAAGTCAAAATAGTCAATCACGATGGGCAGGGCCGGTGAACAAATTCCTATGCATTCTGCACATACCTTATTTGTAGTCCAAAAAACCATTAAGGAACAACAGTATATTTAGGTTGCTGTGAGTTTTCAGGGCTGTATGGTCATGTTGCAGAAGCATTCTCTCCTGATGTTTTGTTCACATCCATGTCAGGCATCCTCAGAAGTTGTGAGGTCTGTTGGAAACTAGGCAAGTGAAGTTTATATATCTCTGGAAGGTCCAGGGCGGGAGAAAGAACATTTGTCTGTTTGAGGCAGGTGTGAATGTTGCAATTGGCCACTTTGATTAGCCTTGGAGTTTCAAAGCTTGGCTTCTTCCTTTGTTGGGAGGTGTTAGTTGGTCTTGATTGTTTCATGTCTAGAAATCCCCTATTTTCTGTGTATTGTTCTTTATTTACTGTCCTGATTTTAGAGGGCTTTTTAATACTGGTAATCAGATTTTGTTCAATTTTATGGTTTCCTTTCTGTTGAAATTGTCCACATGCTTGTGAATTTCAATGGCTTCTCTGTGTAGTCTGACATTGTAAGAGAGGGCCAGCATTTCTGTATTCTCAAATAACATGCAGTGTCCGGGTGGGTTCATGAAGTGCTCTGCTATGGCTGACTTCTCTGGTTGAACTAGTCTGCAATTCACGTTATGGTCAGATCTAGTCTGCCTTTCATGTTCCTTGATTCAAGGTGACCAAAAGCAACATTCACACTTGCCTCTAAACGGACAAGCATTCTTTCTTCCACCTTGGACATTATTCCACAGATATATAAACTTCACTTGCCTAGTTTCCAACAGACCTCACAACCTCTGAGGATGCCTACCATAGATGTTGGTGAAATGTCAGGAGAAAATGCTTCTAGAACATGGCCATACAGCCTGGAAGAGTCACAGCAACCCAATGATTCCGGCCATGAAAGCCTTCAACGAAACGCTACATTTAAAATGAAGAACAATTTTGACCGACATAAACTTACCATTATTTCAATAGGAAGTGTGACTCTGCTTTTGGCTGATGAGATAGTCAAATTAATTGGGATTGTTGTTGTTGTGTGCCTTCAAGCCATTTCAGACTTAGGGTGACTCTAAGGTTTCTTACAGCTGTATAAAATGCACAATGAACTGGATTATATGGCAATGTGGACTCAGATAATCCACTTCAAAGCAGATATTTCTAACTAATGATGGTTTCTCGCAATGTTTGGTTTTAACTATAGTTTGTCAAAGCAAACCAGTTTCAAAACATGCTATGTGAAGTTTTGTTGTCTGATAATGATGTTTAAAAATAGCCATAGCTCCAAGCAAATGGTAGTTAATTAAAATGGAGAAAATGGTTTTCATTTCCTTTCAGACAGGAGCCAGGGGCCGGGGCCAAAGGAACAGTCATGTGCATATAATATTAAACTGTGGTTTAGTCATGCATACCAACAGAATTCCTACTCTAATTCATATGATATATATGTATGATCCTTTTGCCCACACTTGCAGCCTCTTTACTCTCCCTTTTGCAATGGGAATAATCAAACCAAATTTTCTCTAATTAACAACAGTTTCTAGTTTCTTTAGCAATAGCTTAAATGGAAAACTTATGCGTTGGATATAAAACAGAGTGATAATAGAATTAAGATGAAGGAATGTTCCAGTATTTCCTTATTTCTGGAATAATAAGTGTAATATGAACACAATCTATACACATAATAGAAGTGAAGATATGTATGTATGTGTGGCTAGGGTGCCCACTTCCACAGACAGGCTCCCACTCTCACAAATAGCTATAACTCCCACTACTCAGAAAACACCAATGGCCCTCCCTCCAATGACATTGTGGGTTATAGGAAGCACTATAAACATGTACAAGAGCCCTGTCAATCTCTTCCACACACACCATACTGCCCATCACCCAAGTGAAGGCTTTCATACGGGGACAGTTTCATCCTAGATTTTCTGCTTTTCCTCCAGCACTGACACCCCAATGTTTCTTACTCTCTCCATTGGTGTTAAATTTGCATGACTCCACCCACTGCCTCTCTCATAAACCTTTCTTCTTTTTTATGGCACACAGCAAACAGAGGACTTGATCAGTAACTGAACATACAAGAGAAGTTTGGGGAGAATTCACCATGATTTATAGGAGTTGTAGGTCCTGGGATGTATAGTTCACCTGCAATCTAAGAGCACTCTGAACTCCACCAATGATGGACCTGAAACTAACTTGGCACACAAGAACCCCTACGACCAAGAAAAAATACTGGCGGTCTTTAGAGGAATTTATAGGAGTTGTAGTTCAACTACATCCAGAGTGCACTATGAACCCAAACAATGATGACTCTGGACCAAATTAGACATGCATACCCAATATGCCCAAATTTGAATACTGGTGGGTTTTGAGAGGAATTAGCCTGGTAATTTTGGAGTTTGTAAGCACTGGGATTTATAGTTCACCTGCATTCTAAACCTCCACCAAAGATGGAATTGGACCAAACTTGGCACACAAGGCCCCCATGACCAGCAAAAACATACTGGATGTCTTTGGGAGAAATTCACCTTGATTTGGGGGAGTTGTAGTTCACCTACATTTAGAGAGCACTGTGAACCCAAACACAGATGGATCAGAACCACACTTGGCACACATACCTGATATGATGAAATTTGATTACTAGAGGGGTTTGGGTGGAACTGACCTTCCTTTCTGGAAGTTGTAGTTACCCACAACCAGGGAAACTGATCTCAACTGATAATGGACTTGGACCAAACTTGGCACACAGTATCCCCATGACTAGTGTTTCTCAACCTGGGGGTCGGGACCCCTGAGGGGGTCACGAGGGATTTCAGAGGGGTCTCCAAAGACCATCAGAAAACACATATTTCTGGAAGTTTGACCCAGTGCTATTGTTGGTGGAGTTCAGAATGCTCTCTGATTGAAGGTTATCTGTATATCTCAGCAAGTACTCCCAAATGATAAAATCAATCCTGCCCCCCAACCCCATCCGTATTCAAATTTGGGCATATCAGGTATTTGTGCCAAATTTGGTCTAGTGAATGAAAAGATATCCTGAATTTCAGATATTTATATTACAATTCATCACAGTAGCAAAATTATGGTTGGGCATCGTCACAACATGAGAAACTGTATTAAGGGGTCATGGCGTTGGGAAGATTGAGAACCACTGCCCATGACTAACTCAACCTATTGGAGGGGTTTGAGGGGACTGACTCACCATAATGGGAGTTGTAGTTTACCATACAGCCAGAGACCACACTGAACCCCATCGATGATGCATCTAGAGCAAACTAGCCCAACATAACATAACAAAGTACTGATGGAATTTCTTGGGGTTAACCTGGCATTATGTCAGTTGTAGTTAAATTACGACCTTATGCATTTTGTACAATAAAAATTGCCTTTTTCAAATAACCCCGACAACGCTGGGAACTTAAGCTAGCACAGAATAAAATGAAATGTACTTTGCCTTTTGTAGTGGGAGAATTGCTCACGACTTTCCTCCAAGCCTTAAGAGATCACTGCATTTGTTAATTAATTCATAGTTCTATGTACTTACACTGCTATTTTGCTAAAGGTTAGTTGCTATGAATGTCATCTGTGTTGCATTGACATAAACCCTGTTGGTGCGAATGTGGTTTTTTCTTGTAGAACAGAGTCTAAATCAATTATATATAATTGTGTGTATATTCTTTTCCCTTAGTGCCCAGTGACCTTTCTGTAGAGGAGAGGGAAGAGCTTTTAAACATTCGACGCAGAAAAAAAGAACTAATTGATGATATAGAGGTAATTGTATTTCTTAAATAAAGAATATTTCTCCTACTACAAATAATGGTACCACGTTTCTCCATGTGCTGAGTTGTGTTACATTGACATAGGTTTAAAATGCAAATTGCTGTTAAGATAATGTTATTGACATGACGCATGTATATAAATAAAAATGTAATGTTCGTTTGTGGGATTTACATAACTCAAAAACCACTGGATGAATTGACACCAAATTTGGACGCAATACACCTATCAGTCCAACGAGTGACCATCACTCATAAAAACACAGAAAAACATAGCGGAAGAGACTTTAAAAGCCATTTAAAAAAAATACATTACAACGCATGTGCAAAACCACATATATACACATACACAAATATATACACACACAAAACAGATATACACAGACTAGGCTACAGCAACGCATGGCAGGGGACGGCTAGTATATAATAAGATAATTTAAGTAGATAGACTGGAGCAGATATTTGTGTTAGGTTGTATATGATTGCTAATTTTTTATTTTTTTATTTAAGTAGACATACATTTGCAAGTATTTGTTGCATACAGTGCAATACGTTTTATCTATTAAAAGCTTGCTTTCCAGTGTGTGCTTTCCATAATCATTTATCTGATAATATATTTCGGATAAGGGGTCACAGTCTACTATCTAAATAATACATATCAAAATATCATAGACTCTTACTTTACATCCGCTTCTTCCTTGTCTACAATCTTATAGGATCCTCTATATACATTTTTAGTTTAATTTTACATTAATGATTGCTAAATTTTAAGGTAATAGTCATCTTAAAATTATGCCCTTGCTAGAGAAATCATTTAATATTGATTTGTACTTTTCTCTATTTTTGACAGCGGTTAAAGTTTGAAATTGCTGAGGTTATGACAGAAATCGATAACCTAACCAGTGTGGAGGAAAGGTAAGCTTGCTTTCTAGTGTGTGTGCTTTATGGACAGGTAGCATCTTGTTCCTTACACCTTTTAAAATGATTTTTCAGAAACCTCTTTGTTTTTGATCCTGGAAGAATCATGGCTTTATAGCCACCAGTACACGATCCGTCTTGCCTCTTTTGAAGAAGCAGCGGCTTAACAGCTTAATCGAAATTGACATATCATTGTCTAGTTACTGGTTTACTCCACATGTCCATATAGCACTGGTTTTCCTATGCTATTGTGTATAATGAGACTTGAAGGTCTGTGGATTTTGGCATCCATGATGGGTCCTGGAACCTTACTTCCTTACTTAGGCGATCCCTCGTTGCCTAAGTATGATGGCCTTCCAAGTGTAGTGTCTTGGCAGTGGATACATAAGTAACTGTGGAGCCCTATTCTTGACCCGCATGTTCTTTTACAGTGAGGGCATTGGTTTCCAGATGGAAGGTGGTCCCGGTCAGGGTGGGCTTGATGTGCCTTCATCTTCTTGGCACATTTCTCTCTTTCGCCCTGCATTCGTGTCTCTTCAAATTCCGCAGCACTGCTGGTCACAGCTGACCTCCAGTTAGAGCGCTCAAGGGCCAGGGCTTCCCAGTTCTCAGTGTCTATGCCACAGTTTTTTAGTTTAGCTTTAAGCTCATCTTTTAATCTCTTTTCCTGTCCACCAACATTCCGTTTTCCATTCTTGAATTGGGGGACAGTGAGCGGGCATTCGGACAAAGTGGCCAGTCCAGGGGAGTCCAGCTGAGTTGATGGCATAGGAGCATTGCTTCAATGGTGGTAGTCTTTGCTTCTTTCAGCACACTGACATTTGTCCGCCTGTCTTACCAAGAGATTTGCAGGATTTTTCGGAGGCAATGCTGATGGAATCATTCCAGGAGTGGAGTGTGACTTCTTTAGACAGTCCACGTCTCGTAGGCGTATAGCAGGGTTGGGAGGACAGTGGCTTTATAAATAAGCACCTTGGTCTCCCTACGGATGTCCCGGTCCTCAAACACTCTCTGCTTCATTCGGAAAAAAACTGCACTCACAGAACTCAGGCGGTGTTGTATTTCAGTGTCAATGTCGACTTTTGTGGAGAGGGGGCTGCCAAGGCAGCAGAAATGGTCAACATTTTCTAATGTTACACCATTAAGCTGTATCTCTGGCATTGCAGGCGGATTGGCTGGTGACTGCTGGAAGAGCACTTTGATTTTCTCCATGTTCAGTGAGAGGCTGAGCTTCTCGTATGCTTCTGCAAAGGTGTTTAGAGTGGCTTGTAGGTGGTCTTCTGAATGTGCACAGACTACGTTGTCATCGGCATATTGGAGTTCTATAACACATGTTGTGACCTTGGTTTTGGCTTTCAGTCCGCTGAGGTTAAATAGCTTGTCGTCTGTGCGATAGATAATTTCCATTCTGGTGGGAAGCTTCCCATCAACAAGATGAAGTCTCATAGCGATGAAGATGGAAAATAAGGTTGGGGCAATAACACATCCCTGTTTGACGCCTGATTCCACCTTAAATGGAACCAAACCCCAGCAGATACCAAGGGTTCACTTTACTTTTATTAGTGTGTTCTGTCTAGTACTGTGTGTTTTGCTCTGGTACTTCTGGGTATGAAATGATAAATTATTGCTTTGTTATGCCGTGCAGATATCCCCAGCCTTCCACACAATCTTTTCCCTTTATGTCTGATCTGCAAAACATTTTTGTGTGATACAAGTGGCACAGTTTAGGACACTCCTGTGGCTTCATTGGCAGATGTCCTGCTCAGCCACTGCAACAGTATGTGCTGGCAAAGCAGAAGTTCCAAACGCTTATTTGCCAGGGCAGTGGCTCAAAAGATTACACTGTCAATTGGCTTGGATTGAAATAATCCAGTTTAACTGGTTTGTGGGTCGAAACCATAAACATTATCCTCTTCTTAATGCTTCTGTTGCTCTTATATGTGTCAGGGGATTTTAGTACAATTTATAAACATCTGATATAAAACAAAAGCTACTTTGAATTACTTTATCTGTTACGTATCTCTTTTTCCCTTTGAGGTAGGATACCTAGCTGGGCCATCCTCTGCATTCTCACTATCTAACGATGAACATGTGACAAAAGCATAAAATTTAAATATCCAAGATGTTTAACTTCTGTTTTCCTATCACCCCCAAAACAGCAAAGCCACCCAAAGAAATAAGCAAATTGCTATGGGAAGAAAAAAATTCAACATGGATCCCAAGAAGGTAGGATGGCTTTGTTTTGTTTGTTTTTCTCACTTGAGAAACTGTGCTTCTTATTGACTAACTAGCTGTCCCCTGCCACCTGTTGCTGTGGCCCAGTCTGTGTATATGTGTCGTGTGTGTGTGTGTGTGTGTGTGTGTGTGTATATATATATATATATATATATATATTGTATATACTCGAGTATAAGCCTAGTTCTTCAGACCTTTTTGAGGCCGAAAAGGTCCCCTCGGCTTATACTCGAGTCAAGGTTATTTATTATTTTACTCTGTTATTATTATTTTCATTTCATTTATTATTTTATTATATTTATTATTATTACATTTATAATTTTACTTTATTATTATACATTTATTATTTTACTGTATAATTGTTGTTATTGCTACATTCATTATTTTACTCTTTTTATTATTGTTGTTATTACATTTATTATGTTACTCTATTATTATTGGAAGGATACGTAAGCACATTTACATTGAAGAAGGTAAATAATCATTTAATCAGAGTTGGACAGTCTTGTCTTAAATTACCATTTTTGTAAATATTCAAAAATATATAACCTACTGATTCCTCAATTAATGTAATTTAATGGGTATCTATTTTTATTTTGCAATTTACCTGTAGCAGCTGCACTTCCCACCCTTGGCTTATACTCAAGTCAATCCGTTTTCTCAGTTTTTTTTGGTAAAATTAGGTGCCTCGGCTTATATTCGGGTTGGCTTATACTCGAGTATATACAGTATATGTGTGTATATGTGTGTATATATGTGTGTTTGCTTATATATATATGTGGTTTTGTGCATGCGTTGTAAATGTATTTTTTATTTTTTGGCTTTTTAAGTCTCTTCTGCTGTGTTTTTCAGTGTTTTTATGAGTGATGGTCACTCGCTGGTCTGATAGGTGTTATTGTTTCCAAATTTGGTGTCAGTTTGTCCAGTGGTTTTTGGCTTACATTAATCCCACAAACTTAACATTACATTTTTATATAGCTGTATGATTTCTTCAGGCTATTCTACCTTTTGGTGATACCATTAGACAAAGTGAGGCATATGTTATGGGGTGGCAGTCCTCACAGCCATTTTTCTTAAGCATCCTCACCATTCCCACTGTTGGAAGGTGGTTGTGTGCACTCTTTGAACAAACCTCCTTGTGCTTCAACATGGCGACACAATCTGTCACTTAGTGTTGAAGTGTATTCCAGTTCCTAGTCTGGTTGGCATTTATATATACAATTGGAGAGGAGTGGCATTTTATCCTTTACCTCAAGCAGTAAAAAACTTGAGTAGGACCTATGCAAGGTAGATTATAGATAAGTAAAAATTAATGACAAAATACAGCATAATATAAAACTGAAAAATATCAAACAATTTGCAGTCCCAGGTAAAACAGTCAGTCCCAAAGCCTGGTGAAATACTGTATATATGTTTTGATCATTCGATGGGGCTGATGCTGTCATGTCAGGGGTTTTTCCATTTGCCCCGTGCTTTTCTAGGCAGCTGCTTTGGAGGGTTTGGCTTTAGGACTGTTCATAACTCTGTCCATCTGTGTGCATAATTCTCTTCCTATTGGAAAGCACAGCAAATAAAACTGCTCAGTTGAGGTTCAGATTTGAGAAAATGAAACATGTAATCCTCCTTAACTCCCTGTTCCTTATTTGTTCCCTTTGGGCAGGACTATTATCATTTTGCTGGCTTTTTTGTTAAAACAAGTGTTTTCTGTTTACTTACTTTGTTTTGAAGGATGGTAATTTTTTTTCTTGGAACAACTGAATATCCAGGAAGCATTAAAAACAAAGTAATTTTAGAAGCATGCAGATGGGGAAAATGGAGCTGACGTATGAGAGTTAGGATTATAATGAGTTCCTTAGCTGCTAATAGCTGCCAGTATGTGAGGAAACATGGCTGGCATACATGTAGTAAAATGTGCCTCCTCCCTTTGTAATTTCCAAAGAGGGGCTGATTGTCAGTCTTCAGGCTCTTTAGAGAGAGAGAAAGTGGCCAGGAGAAAGCGAATGGAAACAGGGAGGAGGGGGATAAAGCACATTTGTTGCACAGACTCAAAATAGCCTCCCAGACTGTTTAAATGGCATTTATGATAAAAGTAGGTTGGATTTGTTGAGCACATTGTCTTTGCTTGGCAGGATGGTTTTCCGCTGCTGCTGTTTCCATAAACTCTCTCTCTCTCTGCGTTGCCCAAACATACATTTATTTTGCCAAAAAACATTTTGTTTTTATTATTTCTATCTGAAGCCTCATTTCAACCCTTCACTTGTTTGTTTTTAAAATAAAGGACCACACTAGAAACTTATTATTCAAGGTTAAAATTAGTTACAACATCAGTAGTAAAATCACTTCAGATCCTAATTAAATGTCTTTAAAAATACACTGAGCCAACTGGTCGTTGTTGTTGTTATGTACCTTCATGCAGTTTCTGATTCATGGTGGTGCTAAGGCAAACCCCCAAGATTTGTTCAGGGCAGCTTTGTCATTGCCTCCCTCTGAAGCTCAAAGAGTGTGTATTTGTGGCTAAACAGGAATTACAACCCAGATATTCATAACTATAATCGAACACTGTGTGTCTCAAAACCACTGAACTTGCTGACCAAAAGGTTGGTGGTTCGAATTCAGGGAGCGGGGTAAGCTTCTCCTGCTAGGCGAGGTTCTGCCAACCAAGCAGTTCAAAAGCATGCAAATGTGCGTAGATCAGTAGGTACTGCTTCTGCGGGAAGCTAATGGTGTTCCATGCAGTCGTGCTGGCCACATGACCTTGGAGGTGTCTATGAACAACGCTGGCTCTTTGGCTTAGAAATAGAGACTTAGACACGACTAGACTTAATGGCAAGGGGAATCCTTTACCTTTTATACCCCAACAGAACCACTCAGATCTTCATAACTATAGTCCAACACTCAAACTATGCTGTGTGTCTCAGTGGCGCAGCGGGTTGAGCTGCTGAACTTGCTGACCAAAAGGTTGGTGGTTCGAATTTGGGAAGCAGGGTAAGCTTCCGCTGCTAGGCCCAGCTTCTGCCAACCAAGCAGTTCAAAAGCATGCAATTATGAGTAGATCAGTGGGTACCGCTTCTGCGGGAAGGTAATGATGTTCAATACAGTCGTGCTGGCCAAATGACCTTAGAGGCGTCTATGGACAACACTGGCTTGTCGGCTTAGAAATGGAGATTAGCACCACTCCCCAGACTCGTACACAACTAGACTTAAAGGCAAGGGGAAGCCTTTACCATTTATATCCAAACAGAATATTAATAATTGAGGCAATTTGTATAGAACATGTTCTTACCTTTTGAATGTAGAGCCCGACCACCATATGTTACTCATATTCTTATCAAACATCCTCTGTGTTGGATCTTTTAAAAAAATTTAATGAAACTAGAGTTCCTTTTACTGGTTTTACGACTTATAATACATATCCTATGTTTTAGTTTGGAGTATATAGATATATGTCTTACTCAGAGATAAGTGCCACTATGTTTAAGAGGGCGAACAGACTATAATTCTTATCATAAGAAAAGCACAAGTTCAGATAATGGTACAATGCATTATACTTTGAATCTCATGTAAATGTCAAGATACTAAAATGCAGTTGAAGATAACGCTGGCGTTGATTGTCATGGTTCCAATTATTATAAATGATTTATCTGATAATGTGCTTTTTAATGATGTGGTGGTATCTCTTTCTCTCTCTAGTCAAATTTCCCAAAACAAGCTGTCTGTCAGATCATTAGCCTGTACAAACATCAATTCTATTATGAGCAGATTAACTCTGTAATTTGCATCTGAGGACTCATAAGGAATAGATAATAACATACGGTATCTAGTTCATTTATTATTAGAATTTTTCTAATGATTACCTTCAACAAAACCACAAGTGTTAACTGTTTTTACTTGTATCTTAACAATTATTAACAAATAAGGGAAAAATATAAAAAGGAACGAAGCCCGCGGTGGCGGGCTTGTTGACCGAAAGATTGCAGGTTCGAATCCAGGGAGTGGTGCGAGCTTCTGCTGAAGAGAGATATTGACAAGCTGGAATGTGTCCAGAGGAGGGCGACTAAAATGATCAAGGGTCTGGAGAACAAGTCCTATGAGGAGTGGCTTAAAGAGCTGGATATGTTTAGCTGTAGAAGAGAGGCTGAGAAGAGACATGATGGCCATGCATAAATATGTGAGAGGAAGTCATAGGGAGGAGGGAGCGAACTTGTTTTCTGCTGCCCTGGAGACTAGGAACAATGGTTTCAAATTACAAGAAAGGAGATTCCATCTGAACATTAGGAAGAACTGTTCAGCAGTGGAACTCTCTGCCCTGGAGTGTGGTAGATGCTCCTTCTTTGGAAGCTTTTAAACAGAGGCTGGATGGCCATRTGTCAGTGGTGCTTTGAATGCAATTTTCCTGCTTCTAGGCAGGGGATTGGATTGGATGGCCCATGAGGTCTCTTCCAACTCTCTGATTCTATGAACTTTATTATTTATTTATTTATTTATTTACAGTATTTGTGTACCACTTTTCTCACCCCGAGGGGGATTCAAAGCGGTTTACACATAAGTAATGGCAAAATTCAATGCCAGTACAAAAAATTACAATTATACTTTACAATTAGACATAAATCAAGTTAAAAACAGTACATCCACAAGTAATAAAATAATCATTAAAACAATAAAACAGTCTCTTTCGTCAAATCGCCGTTCCAGTCATTGTCTTTCTGAAATGCTGCATACATTTACTTCTACTGCCCGAAGGCCTGGTCCCAAAACCATGATTTTAATTTTTTTCTAAAAGCCAGGAGGGAGGGAGCAGATCTTACATCATTTGAGAGTGTGTTTCATAGGRGGGGGGCCAKAGCCGAGAAGGCCCTGTCTCTTGTCCCCGCCAGACGCATCTGTGCTGTTGACGGAAGTGAGAGCAGGGCCTCCCCGGATGATCTTAGATTACGAGGTGGGACGTAAGGGTGGATGCGTTTGGACAAGCAAGCTGGGCCAGAACCGTATAGAGCTTTATAGGTCAAGACCAGCACTTTGAATTGGGCTCGGAGATGGACGGGCAGCCAGTGGAGCTGGCATAGCAGGGGGGTGGTATGCTCCCTGTATGCTGCCCCAGTTAGTAATCTGGCTGCCGCCCGTTGAACTAGCTGAAGTTTTCGAACCGTCTTCAAAGGCAGCCCCATGTAGACCGCGTTGCAGTAATCTATTCGGGATGTAACCAGAGCGTGGACCATCGTGGCCAGATCAGACTTCCCAAGATACGGGCGCAGCTGGTGCATGAGTTTTAGCTGTGCAAAAGCTCCCCTGGCCACCGCCGAAACCTGCCCTTTAATGTTCTTGCTCTTTAATGTTCTTTGTCAGTGGCAACATTAGCTTCTGTGTCTCTGCCTCTGAATGAGAAGCAGAAGAGACAGGGCAGCCTGGTGTCTATATGTCTGTGTTTGCGGCTGTTGTAGTCAGTGAACTCATTTTGGCTGTCTCCAGCACAAGCGCCCTGCACATTTGCCTCGAACTTGGAACTCCCACGTTCAAGGAAATGGGTAATTGCTTTTCTGCTTGACTTTTCTAGCTGTGCTGCTTGTGCCAGACACCCCCTCCCTAGTTGGCCATCATCTGTGAATGAGGCTTTGCTGCGCCAAACACAATATAATGCTGTATTTGTCAATTGTGTGCAAGCTCTTACTATAAGATATCTTGTTTCCTAGTATTTCCATAATATGACCTAACTTCTAGTCCCAACAAGGGTCCATCCATTGAATCAACTTGGCAAGTCAAGATCTAGGAATGTTCCATTATTTCTATCTACTTGGGACTGACAATCAGGTTGAGTAATGGTAGAGTCGTTTGAATTTTGAACTAGGGCAAGTGTTGAAATTCCCTTTTACATGGGGATTACCTTGTTCAGGAATTTTCCATCAACCACAAATTGGCAACTGAATAAATTTTGCCAGGAGAACCCTAAGATAGTCACCAGAAGTTGACTTGAATGCACATAACAACAAACATTGGGCAAGGGGAAAAATACTGAATTCTCCTTCTTCATTTAGGGAATCCAGTTTCTGATAGAAAACGACCTCTTGCAGAATACGGCTGAAGACATTGCACAATTCCTTTATAAAGGAGAAGGGCTAAATAAAACGGTCATTGGAGATTATCTCGGCGAAAGGTAAGCAGACACCAAACCTAGTTCGTATGATGTTAAACAGGATGTGGGGAGCCTTGCTTTGTTCCATTTTGTTCTCTTCTTCCTTGGCTATGAATGTGTCTGTGCTATACAGTTATAGTAGTTTGATGGCACTTTGACTGTTCTAGCTCCATACTATAGAATTACAGGTTTTGTAGTTTATGAAATCCTCATATTTCTTTCTCTAGAAAGCTCTAGTATTAGGACAGACCATTTGATCAGCTAACCCAGTATTCTTTGCTTGGTTCAGTGGTTCTCAACCTGTGGGTCCCCGGACGTATTGGCCTTCAGCTCCGAGAAATCCTAATAGCTGGTAAACTGGCTGGGATTTCTGGGAGTTGTAGCCCAAAACGCCTGGGGACCCACAGGTTGAGAACCACTGGCTTAGGTTGGGAGTGGCTCTTTGGGATTTCTGCCAGAGGACCTCCGCATTCCTTGGTACCTGACCTTCCAAATTGGCAATGCTAAGCATTCTATGGATGAACCATAGAATTATGATCCTTCTCTCATCTATTTAGTTATCTCTTTCCTATATTGATCCACAAGTGCATTATGGTTGTAAACCATCCATACAAGTTTGGTTTAGGGGCTGTTTAAAAGAATAATGACTAAATAAGATAGTGCCATGCTGGCTATGCTCACCATCTCCTCTGTGCTCCTTCTAATTGATCATGGGACCTTCCATGTGCCAGACATATGCTTCAACACAGCTTGAGGATGCTCGTATGATCTCATAAACATATATTATTATTACTTATTTATTTATTTACGACATTTATATGCCGCCCTTCTCACCCTGAAGGGGACTCAGAGCAGCGGCAATTAGATGCTGAAGACATATAAATATATCATTTAAAACAGGTTAAATCACATAATAAAATTCATATAAAAACAATTTAAAACTATAAAAATCAATGACTTCTATATACTGCCTGTTTACTCATGGAAAAACATTGGGGGGGAAAGAAACCACTGCACTGTGTTCCTTGATCTCAAAAAGGCATTTGATCAGGTTACAAGTAAAAAGTAAATACAATATATTATATTATTATCATAGCACAATATTAATATTATATATTACATTGTACTATAACATTATACTGTAATATTATTAGTAATATTACATTTAATATAAAATGTATAATGATAATTATAATATTTAAATTGCTTTAAGCAATTTAAAAACTACACAGTGGAAGTCTTCCGAAGCTCCACTTTTCTCTCCTTGCATCTTCCTCCAAGGCCTTAAAGCAGGTTTAAAACAACTGGAAAGAACGTCTCTGGACGTGGGTATTCCTACCCACCCACCCACCCATCAAACTGCATTTTCAGAATTACAGAGACGAGAGAAAAGCCATTGCTAATCTTAGGATGCAGTTGATTCCACAGGCCTAAAGTCTATTCGTAGTCCCAACTGGAACAGGCTCATTTAATCAGATGGAGAGTCTTAAATAAATCTCATGTATTCAGTGAGTTTATGCTATAATTATTAGTTATAAGCAAGGGCATCGCCTACTTATTATTAGTATTTCTTTTTTGTGGTCCCTGAGTCACACATACCTGTCATTCTGGACCTCGGTGGAGATATTCAGAAATTTCTAGATCTGCATTTTGGCAGCAATCCCACTCCTTCCTCGACTGCATTCATAGAAGTCATGTGTTCCTGTCAACATCTAGTTTCTTGTCAGTCAGTATCATAGAGGAAATTGTGTTTTGGCACTTCATCAGTTCATCATTCCTTCTTCTCTCTGTGATTTTATGGCCCTGAAGATTTTTTTTCAAGAAGTGTTTAGGCTGTGGAGTGAAGATTCCACTTTTTGACACAATAGATGCAATTTATTTATTTGTTTATTTACTACACTTTTATCCCACCCTTTTCAGCCCGAAGGCGACTCAGGGCGGTGTACAGATTGGCAACAATTAGATGCCGAATACACATAAATACATTGTTTAAAACAGGTTAAATCACATAATAAAATTCATATAAAACATTTTAAAACTATAAAATTCAATGACTTCTATATACTGCCTGGTTACTCATGGAAAATCATTGGGGAGAAAAGAAACCACTGCACTTTGCATTTCTTGATCTTGAAAAGGCATTTGATCAGGTTACCCATGACCTGATCTGGCGAGCACTACGGTGACATAGAATATCAGAAGTATAATACAAGAAGTATGGTCTGCTGTCCTGCAGGGATTTCACCATCCTTCAACATCACTGGAATCAGCATTCTCACTATTCATACTCTGCATGGACACTGCTACAGCAGATTTGCAAACTATGCATCCCTGGACACTCGTATATGCAGATGACATAGCACTTGGCCACCAAACACATGAAGCTCTCCAACAACAAGGAGTGATAGACTGAGTGAAAATGGACTTCAACTGAACATACACAGAATATCTGAGTATCTGGAATCTGGAATTTGAATTAATGGACAAGCACTAAAGAAAGGCACCCAGTTTAAATATCTAGAGTCACTGGTCTCCATAGATGGTGACACAATACCTAGAGTTGTTCATACAATAGTCCTTTATGGGGCAGAGTGACATGAACAAGCCCTTAACACAATGGAAATTAAAATGCTGAGATGGACGCTTGGCTTGACACTTCTTGAGCATGTGCCAAATGATTACATCTGTCAAAGACTAGGAATAAAGGTAATCAGCAAGAAAATGCAGGAAGCAAGACTACGGTGGTACGGCCATGTCATGAGAAGAGAATCAACATCATTTGCAAAAACAGCACTGCATTTGGAGATTGCAGGACAACGACCAGGTGGATGGCCAAAGAAAAGATGGATGGACATTATCAGGCGTGTAGCAAGGAGGGGGGTTAGGGATTCAACCCCCCCCCCCCCGAAATCTTTTAGGTTAAAAAAAATAAAGCTGGTTTACTCATGAATTTTAACTGGCTAGCCAAATCCCCATGCTAATTTTATGAGATGCAAAAAATGAAGAGTCCCTCCAGAACTGCAAGCACTATCTCAAGCAAATATTGACAATTTATTCACACTGTCATTACTTGCAGCAATAGCCGATGTAGCGAAGCAACCAAGTTGGGGGGGGGGGGGGTGTTGAATGCTCTCATTAAGGAGGCCAGACTTGGTGGAGGTGGTTGACAGGGCGGAGCTGCAGGCTATTGAAGGCTGCTCTGCCCCTTGCTGTGCTCTTTGCTTCAGCGTGAGCTAGGAGGCAGGTTTCAACTCCCCCCCCCAACATTTTCAACCCCCCCAAATTTTCAAAACCCCCCCCCAACATTTTCACCCCCCCCCCAAATTTTTCAACCCCCCCCCCCCCCCGAAATTGTCAATCCTCCCCGAAATTTTTTTCTGGCTACAACCCTAGACATTATCAACAAAGACATGTGTGCTGCCAACCTGAGGATGCCCAAAACAAAGCCCTGTTAAACCACAGTCACAATTCTAACCCCCTCAATGAGGAAAATAGCTTAGAAAGAGTAGAAGAATATTTGCAGAGTTAAGCTGTCTTGAGAACTTTTTTCTCCAATTTTGTCTGGATTCACTGGTCGGCAAACAGTTTTCAGCTCGGTCCAGAAACACAGCCTCCCCTTTAAGTGCCTCAAAATAGTACAGACTTTGGCAAGCTTTGACATTTCTTTAATAGAGACCAGATGCCCTGTTGTGATGTAATGCTTTTAAGGGACAAGAATATGGGACAAACTCTGTTGCATTCATAAAATTGCAGAAATAAAGAGCTGGTCCTGAATGCACGGCACAACAAGTTTTCAAAATTATTTAATATAAACTGGGCAATAGAAATTATGTTGTTCTTTGTGCTGTTCATATTTAGCATCGAGAAACTGTAGATTAACTGATGGCTATCCAAGATCTGCTCTTTGGAATATATTTTAGGTAGAAAGTCCAAATATATAGTTCCATGCATGTTTGCTACTCACAGGATTACTGCCCACAGAAGTCATATAGTCAAGTTTTAAATAGTTTGTACAGCTGGCGATCTTCTGAGTCCACATTGCTACAGTTATGCACAGTTACTCTCTTTTAGATGCATGTTATATCGCTTTTGGGATCTGATCCATTTGTCTAGTTCACATGCATTTCCATACTTACATGGAAGTAAGTCCTGCTGAATTCATTCTTTTGTTCAGCAAAGCTTATTATTGCGATACGTCATCTCTGAAATTTTAACCAAGTGGGGGTATTAACTTTAGCAATGTCTAGGAATTTTCCATTCTCTTTCCTGTCATTTCTTCCATTGGTTAAATGCCTATATGTGTGCTAAGAATATATCTAAGACACATTCCTTTGTGCCCACCTGTCTTTGGGGAGTATAAGTTTACAAGGGGGAAGTATACTGGTCTATATGTAGAAATATAATTTGATTGTATTACATGGGAAATTCCAGCTGAGGAAGTTTAATAAATGCATGTTCTGCTGCTGAAGCAGATGTTTCTTTCTAAAGGGATCTCCCCAACTATCAGGTGTTCACTGTTTGTTTCCATTTTCCAAATGAATGTGCCAGAGTACTTATGAATGTATTTATGTATGTTTGTACCCCAAGGGTTCCTCCATGGTTTGATGGATCTGGACCAAACTTGGCACATAGACTCTTCATTAATTTACTTAAAATAATTGAGTGGTTTGAATTAAATAAGCCATTGCTTTTAGAGCCAGAGCTGAAGGAAAGAGAAGGATCAGAGTGGATTGGCTGCTGCTAGGTGAAGTGGCCCCCTGTGATGTGACTGGGAAAGAGAAAGGAGAGAAGAGAGGAAGAGCAAGTGTATTATAGAACAAAGAGAAAACATATAGGTATTCCCCAAAAGATTATTTTTGAGTAAAGGTAAAGGTTTCCCCTTGACATTGAGCCTAGTTGAGTCCAACTCTGGGGGTGGTGCTCATCTCTATTTCTAAGTTGAAGAGCCGGCGTTGTCCGTAGATACCTCCAAGGTCATGTGGCTGACATGACTGCATTGAGCACTGTTACCTTCCTGCAGAAGTGGTACCTATTCATCTACTCACACTTGCATGTTTTCGAACTGCCAGGTTGGCAGAAGCTGGGGCTAACAGCGGGAGCTCATCCCACTCCTCAGATTCAAACCACCGACCTTTCAGTCAGCAAGTTCAGTAGCTCAGTGCTGCACCACTGGGGGCATATTAGGGAGCATATTAGGTAAATAACGTGAATTATTACCTTAGTATAATTCTTTTAGGAACAAAAACACTTCCTTTGGCATGCTGATCTACTTGTTTCTCGTTGGCACGGATTCTTGTAGTATTTATACATCAAAAATGCAGTCATATCCTATTTAATGATTAGGGGTTTCATTGTGTTAATTAATATACTGGAAAAGATTTGTTTTGTTTCACTTAGGAGGTGATATCATGGAGGCAAAGTCTTTGCCAAATAAATCCACCTACTTCTTGTTGAGATGGAAGTTGATCTACAACATTTTAATTTAATGATGTGTTTCAAGCGCACCCTGAGGATTGCAGCCATTCATACCAATGTGTGCTAATGCTGCAAAAATTCAGAATGTTGCCTAGTCAGAATAATAGTGTTAGTTATATTATAATCTACCTTTTTCCCTTTGTAAAAATCAAAATATGTGTATCATCTAGTATAGCTCATGCTTCATTACTGTCTATTTTGTAAGAGTCTTGCACATTTCCAGGAGAAGAAATGTAACACTTCAAACCTATTAAATTTATCTGTGATGTACTGCTGCATAGCTGTAAATATCTGGTTTAAAAAGCCTTTGGCTTCACTTAGATCTGGAGATTTCCAGGTTTGGCGTAAAGAAGGCAAAGTTTCTAAATCTCATTATTAAAACTGAAAATATGACAGCTTCATCCTGTACTTTAGCATTCTAATTTTTCAGTTTTCAGTCTTAAGGGTTGCATATACACAGACATTCCTTAAATCAGTGGTTCCCAACCTTTTTTTTTTTAACCAGGGACCACTCCCCAACATTAGTACTAAAAGAGTTACAAATCAGTTTTTGATCAACTTAAAATTTGGTTTGGTTATTTGGAGTGCTGATTCGGAAAATTGCATTGGATAGACCATATCAGCTCTAATTTCTGATACAGAACATATGTCATCCAGTGGTTGCAATCTGCTCGCCCACTGCCTTAAATGAATAAAGAAAAATGTATTCAGATGCAAGTTGCTTCTTGGCTTTTGTCTACTTTTAACAGTGATTACAAAGAATCTAGCTCTTATTTGGCTCAATCTGACTACCATTTCACCTCCAGAACGAGTTTTTCTACACTGAAAATGCAGAAACTTTTTGGGGACTTTTGGTGACTGTTTGCATATTGTCTACATATCACAAGCATAAATATGTTGAGTTACCTCACTGTTGGAAAAATCAATTCATTAAATGCGCCTTTTTGTGTTATTACTCATTTTGAATAAATTATTTAGAATAAATTATTTACTTAACCTCAGTATGTACCAGCTAGGCAACTGGGAGACAGGATAGAATTAAGTAAGACTTATGATTGATAGGTCCTGTCTTGGAAATATATAGGCTAAAATATAAATGATTTTGAATATTAAAATAAAAAAAGTTGCCACCAGTTTACTTCTTTTTGTTTTGTTTTGTTTCACAGGGATGACTTTAATATTAAAGTACTTCAGGCTTTTGTTGAACTCCATGAGTTTGCGGATCTTAACCTTGTACAAGCCTTAAGGTGAGTTAATAAGAATAGACGAAAGATTTCCTGAATATTTGGTTATTTTTAAATGTTAAGAATATTCATTAATTTTGTCAAGCAGACTTTTTTTTTAATCGTATCAGAAGCAACTTGAGAAACTGTATTGGTGTGAGAGAATTGGCTGTCTGCAGAGATGTTGCCCAGGGGATGCCCTGATGTGTTACCATCCTTCTCATGTCCTTGCGTGGAAAGCTGGAGCTGACAGGCAGGAGCTCATCCTATATCGTGTATTCGAACTGCAAACCTTCAGGCAGCACAAGGGTTTAACCCATTGTGCCACCGCGGCTCTAAGGCAGACATAATTTAGTCAAAACCATAAAGCTTCCTCAATGGCAGTGTGCACAAACTGGTGGTGATGTAGCAGAGCAAAATGTGTAGCACACATTAGCATCAGAAGAATGACAATTCATTCTCATTTTAAAATGAGGTAGCTAAACCCAGATAGACGGTAATAAACAAATTCCATTTGCTTAAATCTTTTGTCGATCTTGAATGTGCTGAACTTTGCTTGAATTGCTTCTCCTTTCTTAACTACGTTGATATAGTCACCGAGACTGTGGCGCAGCTGGCTGGCAGTCAGCTGCATTAAGATCACTACTGACTAAAAGGTCATGAGTTCAAAGCCAGCCCGGGTCAGTGAGTGTCTGACTAATTTGTGTAGCTTGCTGTCGACCTTTGCTGCCCGATAGACAGTTGCATCTGTCAAGTAGGAAATTTAGGTACCGCCTACGCGGGGAGGCTAATTTAACTAATTTACGATGCCATAAAAATCTCCAGCAAGTCTGCAAAGAATGAGGAAGTACTTCATCAGCGTCACAAATGGATGGTGAAGCGATGGCTCCCCTGGTGGCTAGAATGCCCTCATGAAAAGTTGGAATGTTAAATTGCCTCTGTGTCTGTCTATATATGTTGTGTGTCTATGGTATTGAATGTTTGCCATGTATATGTACATTGTAATCCGCCCTGAGTCCCCTGCGGGGTGAGAAGGGCGGAATATATAAATACTGTAAATAAATAAAAAGACAATATCTTATTTAATAGCTGCTATGGGTGCATGTATTTCAAAAGAAGTGTGCTGCTGTGTTTTGAAAAAGCTGCTTTGCTTTGCCTTAATTAAAGACAATTTTACACATTATTTGTAGAATCTCTGTAGAGAGATAAGAAAGGGGTTTTGTTTATAGACTCAGCAAGCAATGCTTGAAGCTCTAGGCTAGTGTTTTGGTCTACAACACATTCGAAACAATAAACCTCTAATTGTGAAATGTGGTGCTATACTACCATTTCTGTATTTTACATAATTTTGGATAAAGATGTGTTTTAGGATAAGATACTTGAGCAGTTTCTTGTCTATCTTTACAGGCAGTTCCTGTGGAGTTTCCGGCTTCCAGGAGAGGCTCAAAAAATCGATCGTATGATGGAAGCTTTTGCTTCACGTTATTGCCTTTGTAACCCTGGAGTATTCCAGTCTACAGGTTAGTAGTGATGAGACTCCCACTCATGTTTGTTATTCCTCACTAAAGTCAGGTATAAATTAATTATAGAAAGTAAGCATGAAACTGGTAACAACCTTATTCTCAGAGCTGTGGCATTGAGGAGAAGGAGTCATAGGATGAAGTTGCTCGAGAGAGCTTCATATTATAAGACAGCTTACACATTTGCTGGATCCCTTCTAATCTTCTGACTTACAGCAACCTTGTTGTAGGGTTTTAATGACTAGATTTGTTCAGGGTTTTTTTGCCTTCCTCTGAAGCTGGGAGAGTGTTTTCTTTCTTTCCGATCAGAGCGACTTGAGAAACTGCAAGTCGCTTCTGGTGTGAGAGAATTGGCCATCTCCAAGGACGTTGTGCAGGGGACGCCCAGATGTTTTACCATCCTTGTAGGAAGCTTCTTTCATGTCCACTCATGGGAATCTGGAGCTGACAGATGGGAGCTCACCCCACTTATCCCGAAAGGCCAGCAGTTTGAATCTGGAGTGAGCTCCCAACTGTCGGCTCCACCTTCTCATGCGGGGAGCAGTACGCATGAACAAGATCTTGGAGTCCCCATGGACAACGTTAAACATGAAATGAAGAAGAAAGGAAATCTTAAGTGTTTTTTTCCTCAATACTGTTATAAGGAAGAATGGAAGTTTACTACATTCCCTCCCCCCTTTTTTTATTTTTCATTTCTCATTTTTCACTTTGGTATTTTTTGCATTTTTCTATTTTTCTATTTTCTTGTTTCTTTTGTTTTTATTTTCCCTCCCACCCCTCCCTTGATTTCCCCCCCAAACCCCAACCCGATCCCCTATCCCAACCCAAACCCTGATTCCACCCCGAATCCGAACTCAATCCCCACCCCTTTTTTGACCTTTTCCTTTTAATGTTTACCCCTGAAAATCTTCAATAAAAATAATTGAAAACATGAGCTAACAATGTCTAGATCCAGGATAGTCATGCTCCCTCTCTATTCTGCCTTGGTCAGACCACACCTGGAAACACATTGTGTCCAGCTTTGGGCGCAGCAATTTAAGGGAGATGTTGACAAGCTAGAATGTGTCCAGAGAAGGATGACTAAAATGATCAAGGATCTGGAGAACAAGCCCTATGAGGAGCGGCTTAAAGAGCCAAACATGTTTAGCCTGCAGAAGAGAAGGCTGAGAGGAGACATGATAGCTATGTGTAAATATGTGAGAAGAAGTCATAGGGAGGAGGGAGTAAGCTTGTTTTCTGCTGCCCTGGAGACTAGGACGAGGTAAAATGGCTTCAAACTACAGGAAAGGAGATTCCACCTGAACATTAGGAAGAACTTCCTGATTGTGGGAGCCGTTCAACAGTGGAACACTCTGCCCTGGAGTGTGATGGAGGAGGCTTTTAAACAGAGGCTGGATGGCCATCTGTCAGGGGTGCTTGAATGCGATTTTCCTGCTTCTTGGCAGAATGAGGTTGGACTGGATGGCCCACAAGGTCTCTTCCAACTCTTATGATTCTATGATTCCTGACACGAAGAAAAAAGAAAGAAAAAAAACACTTTTTGGATTCGAACCACCTACCTTTTGGTCAGCAGTCCTGATGGTACAAGGGTTTAACCCATTGCATCACCAGGGCTCCTTGGAGAGAGTGATCTGCCCATTAGGTTATCCATTAGGTTTCCATGACCGAGCAGGGATTCAAACCTTGTCACCCAGGATTAAACCACATTGTTTCCAGGTTACAAATATTAGGTAAATTAACTCATAAAAATATAGCACCAATCAATGAAAAGCACCATGTTCAGGCACTTGGAGCCCTCGGTGGTGCAGTGGATTAAACTGCTGAGCTGTTGAACTTGCTGACTGAAAGGTCGCAGGATCGAATCTGGGGAACGGCGTGAGTTTCCACTGTCAGCCCCAGCTTCTGCCAACCTAGCAGTTTGAAGACATGCAAATGTGAGTGGATCAATAGGGACCACTCCAGCAGGAAGGTAACAGCACTCTATGAAGTCATGCTGGCCACATGACCTTGGAGGTGTCTGCAGACAACGCTGGCTCTTCATCTTAGAAATGGAGATGAACACCAATCCCCAGAGTTGGAGGCAACTGGACTTAATGTTAGGGGAAAACCTTTACATTTACCTCAGGCACTTGTTCTTCCTAACTTTGGAAACTTTGTCATTGGATCCAGACCAGCTCATGGACCTGCCCTTCTTTTCAAGAGAAGACTTGCATAGGATGTTCATCTCACATTTAATATGCCTTTGGATGATGTTTTCCTAATGTTACAGGAAGTTAAGAATAATTTCTAAGCCTTCTTCACATCCAATTCTTTAACAACAACAACTTATAATAATAGACTTTCAATCTGACTTTCTCTTTCCTTGAACTTTTAGGATCTAACATATAGATTTTGACTTTGTGTGGGAGGGTTAAGGGATACGCAAGTGTGTCTCCTGACTTTGCGTATTTACTCATAACCAGTTGTCGCCTGGTTTTATAATGATCATCCGAGACTAATCAATCTGCTTTAATGTTGCATTTCAGATACATGCTACGTGCTCTCTTTTGCAATCATTATGTTAAACACTAGCCTTCACAATCACAATGTAAGAGACAAACCAACAGTAGAACGATTTATATCTATGAATCGAGGCATTAATGAAGGCGGGGACCTCCCAGAAGAATTACTACGGGTAAGCTGCTTTTAAAGTGGCCAGGGTGCTGCTGACTTGTTGCTTTGATGTTTGCTCAGGGAATGCATGTGTCAGTTCTGGCACTGATCCCTATGGGAACCAGCATCGTAGGACATTTCTCATGTGGCAGTGCATTTCTGTCGCAATAACAGCAACAGTGATCCATCTTTCAAGGCCCATAGACTCATTCACATTTTCTTCTCCATTTAAAATAATAATAGTAATAATAATAATAATAATAATAATACTTTATTTATATTCCGCTCTATCTACCCGAGGGGACTCAGGGTGGATTACAGAACACATATATGGCAAACATTCAATGCTTTTATACAATTAACAAGTCTCTCTCGTCCCCTCAAATGTTATCTGTTCTCACATTTGCCCTCCAAAACCCACCCCAAAAAGACCTTTGGCCTTTTTCTTCCTCAAGTTTTGTCGTTTCCCATATGTATCCTGGACAAAGAACACCCCCCCCCCAACCCATTCAGAAATGTATTGTCGAAGGCTTTCATGGCCGGAATCACTGGGTTGTTGTAGTTTTTTTCGAGCTATATGGCCATGTTCTAGAGGCATTCTCTCCTGACGTTTCGCCTGCATCTATGGCAAGCATCCTCAGAGGTAGTGAGGTCTGTTGGAACTGGGAAAATGGGTTTATATATCTGTGGAAGGACCAGGGTGGGACAAAGAACTCTTGTCTGCTGGAGCTAGGTGGGAATGTTTCAACTGACCACCTTGATTAGCCTTTGTCTCACCCCATGTAGTCCCAAAAGAATTATACTAAGATAGTAACTCATGTTATTTACCTAAAATACTCCCCTAATATGCCCCCAGTGGCGCAGCGCGTTAAACCCTCTATTTTTATTAGTTGTATACCTTTCTTTAATTGTGCAATGCTTTTGACACAAAATAGTTTAATAACCTCCACATTTAAAACCCACACATGAAAAAACAAAGGCCACACATATGAGCGCACAAAGGAAAGAAGACGTCTCAGGATGCAAATGGAATGAGATTTAAAACATACCTTGATAAGATCCTGAGACATGTCTCTGTCCTACTGTTGCAACGGATGTTCTGTGGTTTTGCATTTTTTTCCTTCTCAATCTGGAGAGATGCTTATCAGTCTTTTATGATGGAGAAGATGTGTGCCTTATGCATGGATGCATCTTCCTGCAGCTCTTCAAAGGGGATGCTTTATTTTTAGAAGAGAGATCTTTTTGTTTAACATTCTGTAACATAGGCACTTGGAACACGGAGAATTCCACGCATCCGTTTGGTTTCTGTGTGATCCTGGAGTATTTTGAACGACCAGACATGTTTGCAGACTGTGATCCAAACCATGCTTTCCTTTTAAGTGCTGTGTAACTGCCTGTTGAGCAAATCACGCATCATCAGGCAAATATTTGTACTTCCTGCCTAAGAATAGTGAAAAATGCTTGCGCAAACAGTCATTCAGATTATTGTCGAAGGCTTTCATGGCTGGAATCACTGGGTTGTTGTAGGTTTTTCGGGCTGTATGGCCATGTTCTAGAAGCATTCTCTCCTGACATTTTGCCTGCATGGCAGGCATCCTCAGAGGTTGTGAGGTCTGTTGGAAACTAGAAAAATAGGGCTTATATATCTGTGGAAAGTCCAGTGTGCGAGAAAGAACTCTTATTTGTTGGAGCTGGATGTGAATGTTTCAATTGGCCACCTTGAACAATTTCAACAGAAAGGAAGAACTGGGTTGTTGTAGGTTTTTTTGGGCTATATGGCCATGTTCTAGAGCAGGGGTCCCCAAACTATGGCCCGTGGGCTGGATACGGCCCTCCAGGTCATTTATCTGGCCCTTGTTCAGAGTCAACCTAAGTCTGAAATGACCTGAAAGCACACAATAACAACAACAACAAACCTATTTCATCAGCCAAAAGCAGGCCCTCATTTCCCATTGAAATACTAATAAGTTTATATTTGTTAAAATTGTTCTTCATTGTATTATTTTTAAGTGTTTTTTTACACTACAAATAAAATATGTGCAGTGTGCATAGGAATTCAATCATTTTTTTTTCAAATTATAATCCGGCCCGCCAACAGTTTGAGGGACTGTGACCTGGCCCTCTGTTTAAAAAGTTTGAGGACCCCTGTTCTAGAGGCATTATCTCCTATTTTTTTAATCTAATCTTTGAATTTTAAATTAAGTGAACTTTCTGGAGCTTGTTGAGCTGAGGTTCGTGTTTTTATGGTTAGAACATGACCATATAGCCCGAAAACCCTACAACAACCCAGTGATTCCAGCCATGAAAGCCTTCGACAATACAGAAAGGAAGAAACCATGAAAATGAACACAATCTGGCCACCAATTTTAAAAACCTCTAAAATTATAACAGTAAATAAAGAACAAAACTCAAACACAGGAGAGCTCCAGAGAAGAAACAATCAGGAACAGCTAATCACCTCTCAACAAAGAATTCCCCCAGGCGGTAACAAGCTACATCTAAAAACTGTCAGGCCATCAAATGCTAATCAAGATGGCCAGTTGAAACATTCACATTTGCCTCCAACACACACAAGTTATTTGAGTTTTCCGGGCTGTATGGCCATGTTCCAGAAGCATTATCTCCTGACGTTTCGCCCACATCTATGGCAGGCATCCTCAGAGGTTGTGAAGTCTGCTGGAAACTAGGCAAGTGGGGTTTATATACCTGTGGAATGTCCAAGGTGGGAGAATGAATTATTGTCTGTTGAATGCAAGTGTGAATGCTACGTTGAATGGCCTTGATTAGCGTTGAATGGCCTTGCAGCTTCAAAACCTGGCTGCTCCCTACCTGGTAGTTTCCAACAGACCTCCTTTGTTGGGAGGTGTTAGCTGGCCCTGATTGCTTCCTCTCTGAAATTCCCCTGTTTTTTTATTGTTGTTCTTTCTTAACTCTAAACTTTTGGAGTTTTTTAAATACTGGTAGCCAGATTTTGTTCATTTTCATGGTTGCCTCTTTTCTGTCCACAACCATGTGGCCAGTGGCAACATTCACATCCGCTTCCAACAAACAAGAGTTCTTTCTCCCACCCTGGACTTTCCACAGATATATATAAACCCTATTTTCCTAGTTTCCAACAGACCTCTAAGCCATAGATGCAGGCAAAACGTCAGGAAAGAATGCTTCTAGAACATGGCAATACAGCCCGAAAAACCTACAACAACCCAGTCATTCAGATTGTTGCTCTGAAAAGCACTGTCTCTTTCAGAACTTTCAACAGAATCTATTAACCATCTCCTGCCTTCCCAGCACTGAGGTTAAACTTTTCCCCATTTTCTTTCAGAATTTATATGAAAGCATTAAAAATGAGCCTTTTAAAATTCCAGAAGATGATGGGAACGATTTGACCCATACGTTTTTTAACCCAGACCGAGAAGGCTGGCTGCTGAAATTAGGTCAGTAGGTGGATAATTTCCCCCTTTGCCTTCTATATTCACCTGTGCTTTGTCCCCTGATCCTGCTTTTGTGAAAATCCAATGCATTGGGATTCATGTTTATTTCTGATCAAAATGTCGCCAAGTAATTTTTGTATTATTTTTGTACCTCTTCCTAATTTGCAATTTTGTGTGGCTAAACCTGTCAGTAAAAATGGATCTCTGTCTTTTACAGAAATACCAAAGACAAATAGATAACCTTTATGTTTACTTTCGACCATTCCAAAGACTACTGTGATAAAGTATTTCTTGAGATTTCTCTCTCTCCCAAACACAAATGAAGTGCTCCAGTCTGTTCCAAAGGTTATTCCTGTGTGTCTTTAGGTTCACTCCCATATTTGTGAATTTCTGTTGGTGTGACTTTTGGCTATGATTTTTTAAATGAGTGGTTTAAATGTGCCTTCTTGTTTTCCTTTTGGCCTATGACCTATCACCTTTCTGTTCTGTGACTGGCTGTCTCTGCTTATTCTGCATTAGGAGGTACGTACCTGATGGCTTTCTAGCCCCTCTCTTCTTCTGTTGCTTGTTCTTTCCTTATTTTCCCCCTTCCTCCTCCTGTTTTGCTCACTTTCCTTCATTTTAGCATTTGTGGGATTACCCTGCTTGTCACTTAATAACACTAACTTAAGATGGGTGAAGCCAATGCGTTTCCAATCATGTCTATAATATTCCCAAACACTCACTGTTTCTTCAGGTGCCCCAAATACTTCACATTTGTTGACATTCAGCCCAGGTTCGGTGAATCTTTGACTCTGTGGAATTAGTAGCCAGGTGTGATGTACTTTATTTCCTCATATTATGTACTAGCCATCCCCTGCCATGTGTTGCTGTGGCCCAGTCTGGTGATCTGGAAAATTAAGTAATGGTTTCTAATCTATGTAAAGTATATACTCAAGTATAAGCTGACCCGAATATAAGCCGAGGCACCTAATTTTATCACAAAAAACTGGGAAAACCTATTGACTCGAGTATAAACCGAGAGTGGGAAATGCATCCACTGTGGGTAAATTTCAAAATAAATATAGTTACCAATAAAATTACATTAATTGGGGCATCAATAGGCTAAACGTTTCTGAATATTTACATAAAACTGTAATTTAAGTTAAGACTGTCCAACTCTTATTAAACCATTATTCTAACCTCTTTCAATGTAAATGTACTTATTATTAAAATAATAAAAATAATAGGATAAAATAATGAAAATGCAATAAAAACAGTAATAATAGAGTAAAATAATAAATGTAGTAATAATAGGGTAAAATACTGTAAATGTAATAATAATAATAATAATAATAATAATAATAGATTAAAATAATAAATGTAATAATAATAGGGTAAAATACTGTAAATGTAATAATTATAATAGAGCAAAATAATAAATAGAATAATAGAGCAAAATAATGTAAATATAATAATAATAGAGTAAAATAATAAATGTAATAAAATAATACTAATAACAGAGTAAAAGAATAAATAACCTTGACTCGAGTATAAACCGAGGGAAGCTTTTTCAGCCTAAAAAGGGGGCTGAAAAACTAGGCTTATACTCAAGTATATACAGTAATTTCTTTATGCTTGTGGGTAAACAGTATTTCTTGTTGTTTCTTTGTCAGTGTTGATGTGGAGATTGTCTGGTTTGCCTACTCTGGAACATGCAACATATCATTGTCCTTCTTTAGGGGTCCCTTTAAAATCTATGATATTATATCTCTGTGTGTGTGAATCATATCTATCTATCTATATCTATGGCTGGATGCCTCTTTGTCAGGAGGTCTTTGATGACATTTTCTTGCCCTGGTGAAGAGAGTTGGACTGGATGGCCTTAAGTATTTTCTGTTGGTCATGGGGGTTCTGTGTGGGAAATTTACCCCAATTTCGTCGTTTGTGGGATTCAGAATGCTCTTTGATTGTAGGTGAACTATAAATCCCAGTAACTATAACTCCCAAATGTCAATGTCTATTTCCCCCTAATGCCATCTGTGTTTATATTTGGGCATATGGAATATTTGTGCCAAGTTTGGTTCAGATCCATCATTGTTTGAGTGGTCTCTGATATAGGTGAACTACAACTCCCAAACTCAAGGTCAATGCCCACCAAACCCTTCTAGTGTTTCTGTTGGTCATGGGAGTCCTTGTGTCACCTTTGGTTCAATTCCATCATTGGAGAGAATGCTTCTGGAACATGGTCATACAGCCTGGGAAACTCACAGCAAGCCAGTGACTCCGGCTATGAAAGCCTTCGACAACATAGTTTGGGAATGCTTTGGAAAGATTGCCTTCTTGAAGGAAGGGTTGTATATCAGAATGTCAGAGCCATCTTCCCATATCCAGTAGGCATTTCTACTTCACCTATATCATAAAGCCAAGAGGTTGTAGACGCTTCTGTCTAAATATGTCCTCGATGAGATCCAATGTAGCTTGTTTGATCAGACATTCTGATTGCTGATTTATTTATTTATTTATTTACTGTATTTGTATACCACCTTTCTCACTCAAGGCGGTTTCCAACAAATCAGTATACATAAAACTTAATATAGATTAAAAACATTAAACAATATAAAACATCACAAAAGCAATAAAAACAACATCATCAGCGTCTCATTATTCATGATTGCTGATGTAGAGGCCTAACTTCAATTGATCTCAAGAGCAGCTGGTTGCTGTTGCATTGAAGTGGGCAGCAGAGGAACCCTTCTTTTGCGCCTTTTGAATTGTGGAATTGCCTGTCAACCTGTTGTTTGTATTCTCCTTGTGTATACCTTGTTTGCAGGTGATTATTGAGGGGGCAATTGCCCACCCGCCTCTCGCCTGCCCTCTGCCATGACCATTTGTTGCTTTCCTTCACTGGGAGCCCAAGGGAGGCCACATTCGAAAGCGATTTGTGCTGCCCTTCCTTGCTTCAGCAAAGACGACAGATTCTCTGTGTCTGCATGTCTTGGATCAGGGAGCACAGCACAGCGGAAGCAGCAGCAGAGGGAATTGCGACAGCACTGTGTTGAGCAGACATACAGTACGTAAACCAGAGACTCTGGAGAGTTAGTGCTAAAGAAAGAAGATGGAGAGCCGAGTGTGTACAGCTTGACATGGCAGTGGCCAGTTATAATCTCCATCTCACTGGCCACATAGGTCCCTGCCTGTGTTTCATCCTTGGAACTACAGGCAGTCCCCGGGTTACAAACATCTGACTTACAAACAACTCATAGTGAAGAACAGGTGTGAGACAACAGGAAGTGAGAGAAATCTGCCCCTTGGAAGGGAAATCCACTCCTAGAAGAGTTATCATGGGGAAAAACTTTATCACCAATCTTTGATTCCACAACAAGACATTTTTTTCAAAATTCAATTGTCACAAGGCTAGAAAGTGAGGTGAAATATTGTGAACAGGGGCACAGACTCAAAGGGAAACACTACAGGGATGTCCACCCTTCCCTATGCTATTCAAAACTATATATCTATATAACGAAAAATGTAATGTTCATTTGTGGGATTAACATAACTCAAAAACCACTGGACAAATTGACACCAAATTTGGACAAAATTCATGTATCAGGCCAACGAGTGACCATCACTCATAAAAACACTGAAAAACACAGCAGAAGAGACTTTAAAAGCCAAAAAACAAAAAATACATTACAACACAGGCACACACACACACATATATATATGCAAACACGCATATTTTATTTATTTGTTTGTTTGTTTGTTTACTATATTTGTATACTACCCTTCTCAGCCCTTAGGCGACTCAAATATATATACACAAATATTGTTGTTGTTGTTCATTCAGTCGTCTCCGACTCTTCGTGACCTCATGGACCAGCCCACGCCAGAGCTCCCTGTCAGCTGTCACCACCCCCAGCTCCTTCAAGGTCAGTCCAGTCACTTCAAGGATGCCATCCATCCATCTTGCCCTTGGTCGGCCCCTCTTCCTTTTACCTTCCACTTTCCCCAGCATAATTGTCTTAAGCTTTGCTGTCTCCTCATGATGTGGCCAAAGTACTTCAACTTTGTCTCTAGTATCCTTCCCTCCAATGAGCAGCCGGGCTTTATTTCCTGGAGGATGGACTGGTTGGATCTTCTCGCAGTCAAAGGCACTCTCAGAACTTTCCTCCAACACCACAGTTCAAAAGCATCTATCTCCTTCGCTCAGCCTTCCCTAAGGTCCAGCTCTCACATCCGTAGGTTACTACAGGGAATACCAATGCTTTGACTATGTGGATCTTTGTTGCCAGTGTGATGTCTCTACTCTTTACTATTTTATCGAGACTGGACATTGTTCTCCTCCCAAGAAGGAAGCGTCTTCTGATTTCCTGGCCACAGTCTGCATCTGCAGTAATCTTTGCACCTAGAAATACAAAGTCTGTCACGGCCTCCACTCTATTTTCCAGTTGTCATCTTCTGACCTGGGAGTCCCATCTTCCAATGGCATACCGACATATCTCTGGTTGTACTGGTCCATTTAGTTTTCTTGGCAAGGATACTGGGGTGGTTTGCCATTGCCTTCCCCAGGGATCACGCTTGGTCTGACCTCTCTGCCACGACCGTCCCATCTTGGGTGGCCCTTCACGGTTTCGCTCATGACATCATTGAGGTGCTCAAGCTCCAGCGCCACGACAAGGCGGTGATCCTTTGCTGGAGTACACAAATATATAGGCATACATATTCACATATATACACACACAAAACACATATACACAGACTGGGCCACAGCAACGCATGGCAGGGGACGGCTAGTGTGTGTGTGTATAACACACACAGAGTTAAACTTAAAAAATGTACCTGTTCTGACTTACATACAAACTCATCTTAAGAATAAACCTAAAGAACTTATCTTGTTCATAACTTGGGGACTGCCTGTACTTTTCTGTTAAGGTTGGGGAAAGAGGGAATGGAGGTTTGCTTCAGGAATACAGGTGAGCCATGGATTTAGCAAGGAATGGGGGGAGTATTTCATGCTTCCA